TGTGTTTCTAGAAATTTATCCATTTCCTCTAGGTTTTCAAATTTGTCGGAGTATAGTTTTTCATACTATTCTGTTGTAATCCTTTTTATTTCATTTGGGTCTGTTGTAATGTCCCCCATTTCATTTCTTATTTGGGTTATTTGTGTCCTCTCCTGTTTCCACCAGACTGTTGAAGATAATTCAGACAAGTTCTTTGCCACTGCATAAAAAGCATCACCGTTCCTCCATTGTCCAATCACATGTTCATTTTCTTTTCAAGCCTCACCAGAAGCACATTTAATGTCCCTATTTCTATCAACATTCTGTTGCTGGCACCATGTGTCCCTGTCCCAAGTTTCAGGATCCCATTTCTTACCAACCAGTGCCCTCATTTTTACTTCCTACACCATTCAAGGAGTTCTGTTGGCATTGTGATTCAGTCAGTCTTATAATAATACTCTGGGTTTGGTTTTTGGCAATATCAGCTCTGTTAGTATAAGAAATAAGGCCTTTCAGGGCACAAATGGCTACTTTGGAGTCTTTTATGTGGTGCCTGAGCTGTGACTCTGAAGCCCTGAGCTTATCTCTTTCTTTTACCACTTTGTCTAGCAAAAGTAGGACCAACCAAACAGCTTCCATTTACTTCTCATTCTGACAGAACTGTAGAAAAGTATCAAACATGCGATTACTCAGAGCCTTGCTTCTCACCAATACTTGATCTATTGGTGGTGATATTTTGTGTGTTAACACTGCCACCTCATGCCATGAATTAACAGCACCCTCTTTACTATTGGAGTCAGAGTCATCAGTGACTTGAAGACTAGTCAGACTTGAGAACCAATTTAGAAAACTCTTCCTTACGATTTTGTTTCTCTAGAACCAATCATAGTACCAAATGTCTTAGGCTAGGTTCTCTAAAGAAGCAAAACCAGTGAAGCGTATATAAATACATATATATAGATACAGATATAGATACGGATACAGATATATAGATATATATAGATGTATATATATATTAGAGAGAGAGAGAGATTTATCTCAAGGAAATTGCTCCCATGATTGTAGAGGCTGGCAAGTCCCAAGTCCATGGGTCAGGCGTCAGGTTGGAGGCTTCTCCTGATTCACGTAGCTGCAGGGGCTGACGAACCCAAGATCGGCAGGCAGTATGGCAGGCCACTGGCTCAAGTCCCAAGAACCAGAGGTCAGATGATGACAAGCCAAATGCGGGTTCCAGAGCAAGTGAGTTAGCTTTGTCAGAACATTCACATATATTGGATGCAGGCCACACCCCAAAGGAAATTCCCCTTTTAACGGATCTCACATCAGATCACAAAATGGAGGATGACTACATCATTATGTAACTGCCAAACTACATCATTACGTGACTACCAAACCACTGAGAATCATGGCCCAGGTAAGTTTACACACAACCTTAAACATCACATCATCCTTTAAGATCCAGTTAAATATTGCTGCTTTCATGAAGTCTTTGAGACTTTAACCTCTTCCACAGAGAAAATTGATTCATTTTCTGTGTGCCCTGTTTCCTGAACTAGATCTAGAAAAGTGAACTATTTGAGATCAGGGAACCATGGCTTATTTATCTGTTTATCCCTAGGATACAACACAATGCTGGCATATAATGCTGGATGACTACTACATTATGACTACATAATGCTGGATGAAATCCTCCAAGTCAGAGATTAACTTCTGAATGTATATGCACCATGTAGCTTAGTAGATAATTGTGACTGAAAACAGAGGCTTTAAAGCAGAAGTATCTCTGGAGAAGAATCATTTCTACCCCTTATAGTTGATACTGAAATGTATTATGTGTTAATGCTGCTATGTCTATTGTTAGATTCCTAGGTGGTGCAAATGGTTTTTACTTGACTGCTAACCTAAAGGTTGGTGGTTCGAACCTACCCCAGTGGTACCATTGAAGAAAGGGCCTGGCAGTCTGCTTCTGTTAAGAATACAGTCAAGACAAGGAGGGTGGAACTATTATACACTGCTGGTAGGAATGTAAAATGATACAACCACTATGGAAAACAATATGGCACTTTGTTAAAAAGCTAGAAATAGAAATACCATATGATCCAGCAGTCCTACTCAGGAATTTATCCTAGAGAAATAAGAGCCGTCACACGAATAGACATATGCACACCCATGTTCACTGCAACATTATTCATAATAGTAAAATGATGGAAACAACCTAAGTGCCCATCAGCAGATGAATGGATAAACAAGTTATGGTACATACACACAATGGATGAATCTTCGAAACATCTAACAACGTGGATGAATCTGGAGGGCATTATGAGTGAAGTAAGTCAGTCACAAAAGGACAAAGATTGTATAAGACGACTGTTATAAAAATTCAAAAAGGTTTACACACAGAAAAAAACATTCTTTGATGGTTATGAGAGAGGGGTGGGGAGGGGAAATCACTAATTAGATAGTAGACAAGTGTTAACTTTGATGAAGGGAAAGACAACACACAATATAGGAGAAGTCAGCACAACTTGACCAAGGCAAAGGCATAGAAGCTTCCTAGACACATCCAAACACCTTGAGGGACCGAGTTACTTGGGCTGCGGGCTGGGGACCATGGCCTCGGGGGATATCTACGTCAATTGGTATAACATAGCTCATAAAGAAAATGTTCTACACCCTACTTCGGTGAGTAGCGTGTGGGATCTTAAAAGCTTACGAGCAGCCATCTAAGATACATCTGTTGGTCCTATCCCGTCCGGTGCAAAGGAGAATGAAGAAGACAAAAGACACAAAAATACTAGTCCAAAGGACTAATGGACTACATGAACCACAGCTTCCACCAGCCTGAGCCCAGAAGAATTAGATGGTGCCTGGCTACCACCACTGATGGCTCTGACAGGGATCACAATAGAGGGTCCCGGATGGAGTGGGACAAAAATGGAGAACAAAATTCAAATTCACAAAAAAAGATCAGACTTACTGGTCTGACAGAGACTGGAGGAACCTCCAAGACTATGGCTTCTGGACACCCTGCTAACTCAGAACTGAAGCTGCTTCTGAAATCTACCTTTCAGGCATAAGATTAAACAGGCTTTTTAAAGAAACAATAACATGAGTGAGGAATGTGCTTCTTAGTTCAATCAAGTATACGAGACTAAATGGGCAACACCTGCCCAAAAGCAAAGACAAGAAGGCATGAAGGGATGGGAAAACTGGACAAATGGACATGGGAAATCTGGGGTATAAAGGGAAAGGGAGAGAGTACTGACACATTGTAGGGATTGCAAGAAATGTCACAAAACAATTCATGTAAATTTTTGAACGAGAAACTAATTTGTGCTGTTAAAAAAAAAAAATACAGCCAATAAAACCGCACAGAGCAGTTCTGCTCTGTAACACGTTGGGTCGCCATGAATCGGAATCAGCTCAACAGGAACCAACAACAGCATGTTTTATGTCTACCCTGCTTGACAACCGATCTTTATCTCTGTTTAAGGTAGACTGTCCTACGTATAGTTTCTTTATTTGGTGAGAATCTATTCAGCGGCATTCCTCATGATGCATAATCAGTAAACAAGTGAATATAATTTGTGTATGTAGGTATTACCATTTTAATGGGTATGAAAATTCCATTAGCCACTGGAAATTTTTCATAGGATTATCTGTGTCAGACAAAGTAGTATGAAGACCCAAAGACAAAGCAGGTCTGTGAAAAACCTATAAGGGTGTGATTTATGTAACGTCAGTACTCAATTGCTGTGCAAGAAAGCTGACTGATTTTTCTTACATTTGCTTTGGTCAGTAGATGGCAGACTCTTCAGTTCTTTTTGGGAGACGAGGGAAACTAAGCACATTTTATCTCTAAAAAGTTTTCATTTAGATTTCTTCATGACAATAAATTTTTTTCTTTATGTAATTAAAGACGTAATATCATATAAGGTGATAGCTAGCCTTTGTTTTATACCTGAGGAGCTTACGCTCTTTTAACTTTGTTCCAAATTTTATAGATCTGAAAAGATTTTATAAGTTTGTCATTACTGAAGTGCTTTGTTCTTCCATTTGATATTCCAAGGACAATTGCAGTTCCTATAATCACTGGTGGCACAGTGGTTAAGAACATGGCTGCTAACCAACAGGTCAGTAGTTTGAATCCATCGACCACTCCTTGGAAACACTATGGGGACAGTTCTGTTCTGTCCTCTGGGGTCGCTATGAGTGAGAATCAACTCGATGGCAACAAGTTGGTTATGATCACATCTCAGCTACACAGTCATATTATTTGGAAATTGTGTCTGCTTCCTTAGGTGCTGAATTCATTTTAAACCAAAAACTTGTTAATCTAAATAGCAGCTACCCTAATCCCTAATTATATGATGCTCCTGTTAATAAGAGATTGAATGTAACTGAAAAATGTTAATAGAATATATTATAATGTGATCTCAATGTAGGACTTTTCTAGGGTATGATTGTCACATTTCTGTCTTTTTTTTTAGGCTGGTCACCCATTCCAACAGCGCTGTGCACAGTCAGCCTACTGTAACAGTAAGCAGAAGTGGGAGTCGCCTGTATTTCTTCTGTTCTTGGACTGTGTGTGGCAGATCCTTCGTCAGTTCCCTTGTTCTTTTGAATTTAATGAGCATTTTCTCATCACGCTCTTTGAGCATGTTTATGCCTCACAGTTTGGGACATTTCTGGGAAACAATGAAAGTGAAAGGTGGGTACACAGTCTGTGTGGGGACATTTCCATTTTAGTTGTTTTGGTCACTTCCTAAAGGAGACTAAGATTTGGTTCTTCATTACTCTGGTTCTACATTAATGTTATTTATAAGAAGGTAGAGGTTACAGTTAAGTGTAAATTAAATTACATAAAGTATATTGCTATTATGCTAAGTGGGAGCATATTGTAGACTTTCTTCTATTAGATTAAAATCAGTCCATATATGATTAGAAAGCTTTGAGTAAATTGGGCAGCCATTTTAAGTGTTAATTTCCTTATATTGGATCATAGTATCTTATATCTGGAAGAAACCTTAATGTATAATCCAACTCCAGCTCCCTTCTCCCTTCCAGTCCAGTTTTATAGATTAGGAAAGTGAGATCCAGAGAAGTTAAATGACTACCCAGGGATACACAGCCAGTTGGTTACCAAAAGTATGGCTTATAGTACAAATCTTCATACTTCCACTTTAGAGCTTTCTCTGTTAACACCGTAGAAACTGTCCTAAGATCCAGAGCAAAAATCTCACTTCACAACCCAGACTCCATCAAGTTTTTAGGTCTGTTCAGAAGATTCACATCAGAATGATCTTTAAAGGTATTTAACTGATAATCTGGTTCTGAATTGGAGAAGGTACAGCAAGGTTGTATCCTTTCACCTTACTTATTAAATCTGTATGCTAGACAAATAATCCGAGAAGCTGCAGTTTATGAGGGAAGAACGTGGCATCAGGATTGGAGGAAGACTCATTAAGAGCCTGAGATATGCAGATGGCGCAACCTTACTTGCCAAAAATGAAGACAATTTAAAGCACTTACTGATGAAGGTCAAAGACTACAGCCTTCGATACGAACGTGAAGAAAATGAAAATTCTCACAACTGGCCAATAAGCAACATCATGATAAATGAAGAAGAAACTGAAGTTTGTTAATGATTTCATTCTAGTTGGATCAACAGTCAACATACATGGAAACAGCAGTCAAAAAAATTAAATGACGTATTGCATTGGGCAGATGTGCTGCAAAAGTTCTTTAAAGTTTTAAAAATGAAGATGTCACTTTGGTGACTTAGGTACACCTGAGTCAAACCATGGTCTTTTCATTTGCCTCATATGCATGCAAATGCTGGACAATGAAAAAGCAAGACAGAAGAATTGATGCATATGAACTGTGTTATTGGCAAAAAGTACTCAATATACCATGGACTGCCGTAAGAACGAACAAATCAGTCATAGAAGAAATACAACCAGAGTGCTCCCTAGAAGCAAAGATGGTGAGACTTCAGCTTGCTTACTTTGGACATGTCATTAGGAAGGACAAATCACTAGAAAAGGACATCATGATTGATAAAGTTAGTTAGAGAGTCAGCGAAAATGAGGGAAATCTTCATGAGATGGATTGACACAACAGCCAAAACAATGGACTGAAAGATACCAGTGATCATGAAGGTAGTGCAAGACTGGGCAACAATTTGTTGTTATACATAAGGTCACTGTGAGTTAGAGCTGACTCTATACCAACTCACAACAGCAGCTGATAACCTCATTTTTATAGGCTCAACAGACTTCTGAGTGAGAGGCAGGATTTGCTTTGTGGTTGGTTGATGGCTAGCATCATTTAATAGCAAATTTAAACACTAAACAGTTTTTCACATATGAAATGAATGGAATTGTTGCATCTTTGCCAGTTTAAAATTCAAGCAGATAAAACAGTACATATTTTTTACTTAGAGCTGAATTCCAAAGTTTTCTACATTAGAGCTTTGTTTTCAGAAGTAGGAAAAAATACGGAACTATATGAGTACTATAGAAAATTCCCAGTGATCATAGTTTTCTCATTGTGCTTTGGCTATAGCTACTGAAACCACACATTATTTGTATGGATCAGTTTGACTAGAAGGGTAATTTGATGAATGCATTTATAATTTATATTATTTATTCTTTACTCTCAAGGGTTTTTACTCTTAAATTTGTTCCTTAATAATAATATGGAGTTGGAACAGTATTGTTTTTAGGCATGTTCAGGCTGAAATGTCATCTTATATTGGCATTATAAAATTAAACATTTGTAAAAACATTCGGGTGGTATGGTGGTATGGTTTCCCCCTGGACTGTTTATTCATAGTCTAGATTTAAATGAATCTTTGAACCTTGTACCACATTTTTTTCAATTAATGAAATTTATTTTTGGTATCATTTTAAGTTGGTTTTCTAGTAATGATTATACTCATTCATGAAAAAAATGTAAGAAATAGTACAAAAGTATTTTATGAGAGTGGCTGTCAGTACAGGCAGGACCCTGACTTAATGACTTTCACTATGTAATCCAACATCATAAAATACAACCTCAAAGTTAAAGAGTCTAATATAGGGTTTGAAGGAAGTTACAAAAGGTGAAACACTATCTCTAGATTATTCAAGAGTATGTGAAGTTTCTTAGAAGCTACTAGTTCTCACCAGCATGGTGTTTGTGAGAAACACACACACAAAATTTTTTTATTATTATTTATTGTGCTTTAGGTGAAAGTTTACAGAGCAAGTTAGTTTCTCATTCAACAGTTTATACACAAATTATTTTGTGACATTGGTTGCAATCCCCACAACACGTCAACAGTCTCCCTTTCTCACCCTGGATTCCCCATTTCCATCTTGTCCATTTTTCTCCCTCTCTGTCCTGGATCCTCTGTTGTGATGCCTGTCAAAGCTATCGGTGGTAGCTGCGCACAGTCTATTTGTTCTGGTTTCAGGCTGGTGGAGGCTGTGGTGCTTGTGGTCTTTTAGTCCTTTAGACTAATATTTTCCTTGTGTCTTTGGTTTTTTTCATTCTCCTTTGCTCCAGACGGGATGGGACCAGTAGATGTATCTTAGATGGCCACTTGCAAGCTTTTAAGACCCCAGATGCTACTTACCGAAGATGGATGTAAAACATTTTCTTTGTGAGCTATGTTATCACAATTGACCTAGATGACCCCTGCGACCATGATCCCCAGCCCTCAGCCCCAGTAACTCAGTCCCTCAGGGTTTTGGGATGGAAACACAAAATTTTAAAGTCTACTTAAGAGACAACATTTTGAGAAGCACTTTTGTTAGAAACAGTGTACAGTTATTAGCAAAATTAACAAAGGATAGCAGCATTCCTTTGCGTACTGCCATTTTCAACTGTTCCGTTTGCAGAGACCTCTTGTACTCAAGGTAAGTATCTTTTTTTTTTTAATCTATTCTGCCAGTTTCTTTTGATTCGTGTATTTAATCTGTTTGCACTTAATATAATTACTAATAAAGATTTACATCTGTCATTTTTCTGTTTTCTATATGTCATGTCTTTTTTTGTTCCCTGTCTTCCTTCTTTATGGCCTATTAGTGTATTAAATAGATATTTTCTAGTGTACCATTTTAATTCCGTTTTTTCCTTTACTATATTGTTTTAAGTTATTTTCTTAGTGGTTGCCTTGGTTATTACAATAGCATCTAGTTTGGATTGCTACTAACTTAAATTCAATAGTATACAGAAACTTTGCCTCAGGGTAACTCCATTCTCTCCTCCCCCACTCTGTGCTATTAATGCCATATAAATGACATCTTTATACATTATAAACCAATCAGTAGTGTTCTCATTGTTGCTTTATACAATTGTCTTTTAAATGAGATAAGAGAAGAAAGAGTTACAATTTATTTTTATTGTCCTTTACATTTATCTATGTACTTTCTTTTACTAGTGCTCTTTTGAGTTACTACTTAGTATTTTTTTCATTTCAGCCTGAAGGACTGGACTCCCTTTAGTATTTCTTGTAGGTCAAATCTGCTAGTGAAAAATTCTCTGTTTTTGTTTCTCTGGGAATGTCTTAATTTCTCTTTGATTTTTCAATAGTTTTACTGGATGTAGAATTCTTGATCAACAGTAGTTCTTTCAGCACTTCGAATATGTCATCCCGCTGCCTTCTGGCCTCCATGGTTTCTGATGATGAATAAGCTACTATTCTTATTAAAGATTCTTTTTCTGTGATGAGTCATTTTTCTCTTGCTGCTTTCAAGATCTTTTTCTTGCCTTTCAGTAGTTTGATTATGATATATTTAGGTGTGCATCTCTTTGAGTTTATCCTACTTGGCGTTCTTTGAGTTTCTTGGATATGTAGGTTAATGTTTTTCATCAAATTCGGAAAGTTTTCAGACATTATTTCTTCAAATTTTTTTCTGTCTCTCTCTCCTTTCCTTCTGTAACTCCCATTATGCATATGTTGCTATATTTGATGGTGGCTCACAGGTTTATGAGACTCTTTGAGTTTTCTTCTTTCTTTTTTCTTTCTGTTCCTCAGATTGGGTAAAATCAGTTGGCATTCTCTTTCAAGTTCATTGATTCTCCTGCCAGTCCAAATCTGCTGTTGAGCCCCTGAAGTGGATTTTCATTTTAGTTACTATACTTTTCCAATCCAGAATTTCTATTTTGTTCCTTTTTTTTGTTGTTTAAAACATTTCTACCTCTTTATTGATAGTGTTTATTTGGTAAGACATCATTGTGATGCTTTACTTTTTCTGACATGGTTTCCTTAGTTCTTTGAATGTATTTATAATAGTTGATTTTAAGTCTTTGTCTGGTAAATCCAGTATATGCCCCCCTCAGGAACAGTTTCTATACGAAAGAGAATGCAGCATCAGGATTAGAGGAAGACTCATTAACAGTCTGCAGTATGCAGATGATACAACCTTGCTTGTTGAAAGCAAAGAGGACTTGAAGTACTTACTGATGAAAATCAAAGACTACAGCCTTCAGTATGGATTACACCTCAACATAAAGTAAAAATCCATACAACTGGACCAATAAGCAACATCATGATAAACAGAGAAAATATTGAAGTTGTCAAGAATTTAATTTTACTTGGATCCACAATCAATACCCATGGAAGTAGCAGTCAAGAAATCAAACGACATATTGCATTGAGCAGATCTGCTGCAAAAGACCTCTTTAAAGTGTTAAAAAGCAGAAATGTCACTTCAAGGACTAAGGTACACCTGACTCAAACCATGGTATTTTCAGTTGTCTCATATGCATGCGAAAGCTGGATAATGCATAAGGAAGACCGAAGAATTGATGCCTTTGAATTGTGGTGTTGGCGAAGAATATTGAATATACCATAGATTGCCAGAAGAACAAATCTGTCTTGGAAGAAGTACAGCCAGAATTCTCCTTAGAAACAAGGGTTTTGGACATGTTATCAGGAGGGACTAGTCCCTGGAGAAGGACATCATGCTTGGTGAAGCAGAGGCTCAGTGAAAAAGAGGAAGACCCTCAATGAGATAGATTGACACAGTGGCTGCAACAGTGGTCTCAAACAGCAACAATTGTGATGATGGCACAGGACTGGTTAGTGTTTCATTTATTGTACGTATGGTCGCTATGAGTCAGAACCAACTCTACGGCACCTAACAACAACAGGGACAGTTTCTATTGACTGCTTTTTCCTCTGTGTATGGGCCTTAAATCCCTGTTTGTGTGTCTTGTAATTTTTTTGGAAACTAATGTTTTAGATTGTGTGTGCGTGTGTGTGTGCGTGTAGTCGCAATTCTGGAAATTAGATTTCCCCCACCCTCCAAGGGTTTGCGGTTGCTGCTGTGTTTTTGTTTTGTTTCTTTTTATTGCTATTTGTTTATTTAGTGATTTTCCTGCATTAATTGTGTAAAGCCTGTGTTCCCCGTAGTGTGTGGCCACTGAAGTCTCTGCTCAGTTAGCTAGTTTAGTGGTTTGCCAAGGTTGGTCAGAGATTTCCTTAAATGCCTTGAGTCAATAAATTGTCCACCCTTGCCTGTATGTGTGTTGGAATATGCCTTCAACACTCAGATAGATTACAACTTTGTTTTAGCCTTTACTTCTTGCTGTGCAGGGCCGAGAGGTGAGAGATTGGGCCCTCTTAGGTCTTCCCTAGGCATGTGCACAGCCCTGCACATGTGCACACTCTTCTAGATTCCTAGGACTATGTCAGAGCTGTTCAAAGCCTCCAAGAACATCTCGTTCCCCATGTTTGTTTGTTTTTTTTAATGTTCTTGGCCAAGTTCTTGTTTGCTGTATCTGATATGGTAACCTCAGGCAGCTATGATGTTAACCAATTTCTCTCACTTGGAGAGAGCTCTGAGTCTCTGCAAATGGGACTTTGCCAGGGAACTGCAAGACACATCAATTAGTGACAGTGCTGTGGAGATGGTACTTTTGGAGTAACTCCAGACCTGTTCTGCCTCTCTGGTGGCTGGAAGGCTGCTGGTTTTCAAAGATACTGTGAATCTGGGAAAGGAGGATAGAAATAGGCCAGGTTAAAATGCGAAAACCCTACCGTTGTTACCAAGGTTTAGCAGGTTTTGTTTGTTTTGATGAATGAATGTTCCTCAGATTGTTGCAAGCCTTGGGTTAATTTCCAGAGTTCTGAAAAAATTAATCTTGACAATTTTTGCCAGGGTTTTTGTTGCTTTTTGGAAGAGCGAATTTATGGAGGTCCTTACTCTGCCACTCCAGAAGTCCTGCTGCTAAATGTAACCTTTTAACTATGCTTTGATGTACTGTAGGTCCATTCCTTTTTCACTGTCATCACTCCCTTTCACATTCTCTCCAATGTACTTTAATGGAAAAAGTTCAAGATTTGAAATGAGAAGATTTGAGTTTGAATCTCCACTATGCCACTTACTAGACATGTGACTTCAGAGATTTAGCTTCTCTGAGGCTATGTGTGCTGATAGAAAATGCAAAAATTAATATCTCCCTCACAAATATGTAGTGAGGATCAAACAATGTGTGAAAATTACTAGCATGTTACCTGTTACTTCATAGACATTCAAAAATGTTAGTTTAATCATCTATTTCTCCTTAAATCTTCTATCACCAGCCTGGCCACAGTAGTCAAAAATGACCACTGATTACATTTTGACACAGAGCACAAAAGTACTTTGGCTAGCACATTCATTCTACTGAACGTGACAGCAAGTGAGTACTTTATGTTTGTATTATCTGATGCAAGGAAAAGAAAAGATAATCGAGCACTCAGGTAACCTCTACCAACTGGGAGTCAGCATGTAAGATTAAACTTACTTGCACTCCCTTTCTTGGACACTAATACCACTAATACCAAGAGATATTAATAGATATTTCACCAAAAAAGGATTCTATGGCCAGATATATTTTTTAAATTGTGAACTAAACAGTTTTACCTATCTAAGAAACCTTGCTTTTTTTTTTTTTTTGAGATCAAAGGCTATGTCCAAATAATTATCGCACAGGTAACCCTATTCCACTGTTTCCTAAAGCATGTTCTGCTTAACACTGGACCTGTACTCTCAGGAGGAAGTGGGTGTGGGGGAGGTAATTCCATAGTCAAGGAAGTTTGGGGAATGGAACATAATATAGTGTCTCTTAGACGGTCACAATGCACATAAAATCATTAAAGGCGTTAAGACATCTTTTGATAGAGTGTTTAATTCAACATTTAAAGAAGTATATTTGACTATGGAATTCTTTTTTGTGTGACACTTATGAACGTCCCTCAGAACTAGTTTTTAATAAAGGAATTAAAAATAGATTTTATTTCACATGCTCATTCCCACTTGGTAGTGCTGATTGGGAAGGATTCTGAAGCAGTGTCTAGGCTCAGCCAGAAAAAGTTCAGTGACTGACTAGCCATGGGCTTATGGGGCATAGCGCTGGGGGAGCAGTGGGTGCAATGCTTTCCTCCCCTTGCCATCCCTGGTTCCTGGGAACATAGTAATGGAAATGGGAAATCCTATCAATTAAATTCCAGCACTACATAGATTCTGTCATTATGTGGATTATTTTTATTGCTGGCATGGAAAGAATGCTCATAATTAACCTACATGCAGCCTATAAGTTATCAAGTAATTTCAGAGAGAAAGTAATTTTATAGTAAAACTTCATTAAAATTGAATGTATTATTTTTTTGGCTAATTTAGGGTACCACAACTATCTTTCAGTTCTTATTAAAATTACTTTTTTCCTAAAATGTGTCAGTTCACTTTTTAGCTACTAGTTTATTCCACGATAACGAGTATTATAACAGAGTTTCAGACTTATTATGACACCGTTTACTGTATAGTGTAGATTAAATCTGTGCTTAAATCAAGTTATGCATTTGTTTTTAATCTTTGACAGTCTTCATTTCATGTACATGTAATTTATTTTTCCTTAAATAAAAAAATTTTAACTTTGAGATTTGACTTAATCTTCATTTTTAAAATAATGTGTATAGTTTTGTGATTTTATATTCTAGGCCTCTTAGAAACAAAAAAAAGTTGGAAAGTTTTTTTTTTTTTTTAGCTATTTTAAAATAAAATCTCAGATACATTATAGGACTTTCGTGTATAATAACATTCTCTCAGTTCAGGTTTAACACCCAACCTGAAATTGCCAGGTTATGGTTTTATCCTTCTTGCCAGCTTTGGAAGCCGGTAAAACAATCTTTGTTGTTGTCCAGAGTTACAATGCTGATTGAATTTTCTGACAAATATTTTTACTTTACAACGCTTTGTTCTTCAACTAGAAATTTTGTGATCTACCTTCTAACATACAGAGAGAAGAAATTGCACTATTAAGACGAGCATTTAGCAGTAACACAAATAAACTGCTCTAATAACAATTTTCTTTCTTGATCAGATGTAAATTGAAGTTGCAGCAGAAAACGATGTCTCTGTGGTCCTGGGTCAATCAACCCAGTGAACTGAGTAAATTCACTAATCCTCTTTTTGAAGCCAACAATTTTGTCATCTGGCCCTCAGTTGCTCCACAGAGTCTTCAGCTATGGGAAGGTAAACTGCATCATTTTCAAACTATTTATTAATGTTCTCTTTACTGTCTGTGGGTATATGCTGTTCTTTATATTCGAAGATGAGGAGGTGGGCCTCTCCCTTAGACCTGTGTGTAATTGTTTACATGTTGCTGTAAAAAAAATTAGCATAGTGCACTTACAAAAATACCTTGAGGGAAGAGGGCATAGTTGGCAGAGGTAGAAGGTGCGCTTTATTTGCATAAAAGCATGGTATAAAATACTGTTCAGTTTCTTTTTAATCATTTTGAAGGTAGAAAGTACATTTTTATTCATCTTTGTATTAAAGATCATAAGTCCTACACACAATAATGATAGATATTTGGTAAATTTATCTGAATTATTATAAATGTCACTTATACTGTGTTCTAATACGCTGTGTTCTCAAGGGCTGTTCGTGTATGGAGATTTATTTGCCCATTATGTTGGCAGATTGCTTTGCTTCCTGTTTGAAATTGAGTCTGTTTCTATGTCTTCTTGGGATGGCATCTGTCACATCTCATTTGTCTTGGTATATCTACCTTTAAATGCTTCCTTCTACTTCAGTTTATGCTTCTAATCTTATCTGTTGAGGTATTCCCTAGTTAGGATTGTGGGAAAATGGGCTTAGATAGTCTCAGTGAGCTTTCATGCTTTGATTTGGTGAAGTAATTTTGGCTGCTGAGAACTTTGCTTACTTTCTTAGTTGTTGTAGACAGTCACAAGTGGAGGATAAATAACCTCTTAAATGAGAGATTACAGCTCTTATTTAAGACTCCTGGGACAATTTACCTAAAAGCCACTGCCACATTTAACAACTGAAATGAGAGTGCATAGCTACTTGAGAGAAATCCAAATTTGAAAGTTGGAGGGCCTGCCCAAAGGATAATTCAACTACCTTTAATCAAACCTTACTGAGAGTTTAGGAATTAAGTAATAGAATGAAATCTTTATTGTTATATGAATGAATTCTGATCACCCCACTAAGAACAGTTTTTGTGTTTAGTTCCTCTTTAACTTATAGCAGGAAGAAATCCTACATTAGGTAAAATCTTTTTATGGTTGATATGTGTATTATATATGCCCTGGTGGTGCAACAGTTAAGTACTTGTGCAGGCTGGCAGTTCAGACCCACCCAGTGTCTCTGTGGAAGAAAGACCAGTTATCTGCTCCCGTACAGATTACAGCCAAGAAAACCCCATGGGGCAGTTCTATTCAGTCACATGGGGCCACTATGAATTAGAATTGACTTAACAGCACCTAACAACATATGTGTTACATAATGAGGGTACTCTTTGGCCTTAAAACATCTCAGCTGTTTACATTTACATCGTGGTTAACCATTAATATTAAATAATTCCTGTATTGAAGAATATGTTTTTAAAAATAAAAAAACCAAAGTCCGTTGCCATCAAGTCAGTTCGGACTCACAGCGACCCTATAGGACAGAATAGAACTGCCCTATTAGGGTTTCCAAGCTGTAAATCTGTATGGAAGCAGAATTCCACTTCTTTCTCCCGTGGAGCAGCTGGTAGGTTCTAGTGCTGACCTTTCATTTAGCAGCTGAGCACTTAAGCACTGTGCCACCAGGGCTCCCTGTTTTCAAAAATACTCTCATATAATAGACAAACCAACACAGGCCAATTAATCAATCATTAAGCTATGTTTCTATTTACCCTCTGGTAAAGACTAACATTACAGTATATATAGAAGGACTTATTAGGGCTGGGCCAGTTTGGTTTATAGGACGTGTTTTAATGAATCATAAACCCTTTGTGAACTTGCCAGCTACTGACATGTTGCAGCATAGTAAGTTTGAGTATCTCCTTACTGAAATAACTTGAAGCCATTATTTTGGGGATGATATAGTTAACACAGGTCTAGGTAAAGGAGAAAATGTCTCTGTTTAGTTCATAATCAAATGATATTATTATTATTATTATTTGGAGAAAGAATCAATTGCCTGCAGAACTGAAAAACTGTTTCTCAAGTGACAGAGAGAGCACACAAGCAAGCAAGCTGAAGTTTAGGATTATAAATAACAATTTATTTGATTCTGCTTTTACTGTAATTGACTTTTCCAGTGAAGATAATTTCACACATTCTCTTACAGGTTTGGGTAAAGTTCTATAACTTAAAAAAAAAAAAAAAAAAATTATAATGTAAAACTGGAAAGTTTGATGTAAATTATCAGCTGCTTCTTCTGAATATAAGGTATAAGAACACAGAACGGGATTTTAATCTATTTGGTAATTTTTTAGGTTTTTTTTTTTTTTAAGAATTAACGAGCATGTACACAGACATAGTGTCTCTTGAATACTGTATTAATTGCACTCTTTCAGTACATTAAGATTCCTGTATATTTTAGAGTATAGTAAAACATATCTGAGTTGTAAGAAAAAAAAGTAAAAAATAATGTATAATGCATGGAATTAGATATTATCCACAAGTATAATGTTAAGCCATGGTATACCTCTTTCTCCTGTCTCTTTCCCTTTCCCGGATTCATTAGGCATTTTCCTACGCTGGAACAGATCCTCCAAGTATTTGGATGAAGCTTATGAAGAAATGGTTAACATCATTGAATATAACAAGGAATTACAAGCAAAAGTAAATATCCTTAGGAGGCAGTTGGCAGAACTGGAAACAGGGGATGGGATGCAGGAGAGCCCCTAGAAGATCCTCCCCACACACACACACACACTCTTCAGAGAGCCCTCCTGGACCTGTATTCCACCTGTCTCTCCTTTGCCCTTCAGTTCACTTTTACACAATAGCCTTGAACTTAGGGCTTAAGATGTGGGAACCCTCTACTGTAATGGATTCCTTGATACTTTATTATATTAATGAAACTTACTGTAATTACTCATGTTTCATGTGGCCTGTTAGGCCTCTTCACTTAGGGAGAAGGAAGGAGGTGCTAGTCATTTTATTTTATGTGAAATAGGTGACTTATTTAATGACATTTGTGTTATACACCATTTCATAAGTTTTTATCTCTGCGTACACTTTCCAAACAGTGCTCCAAAACAGTGAAGGATATGGTTACTCTTTTTAGGGAATATTTATTGATTTTAAAAAAAGGATTAGACTTTTAACCACTCTGGGTATAGAAATATTTTTCAAAACTGAAACAGTTAATAAACCAAGGAATTTCATGTTTAACATGCCATTTCCAATATTATCTTTGCCACATGAGATAGCCATTCTCTTTAAAATAGTTTTGGACCAGTGAAGCTGAATTGATTCTCATTCTAGTTTGTCAAGAAAGGAAAATCTAAATGCTTATTCTAGATAAATTACTTTTGTAGGGGTAACAGGTATAGTCCTCTGATATTTACATTAAGAATAATTAAATTTAGTTTAACAGTAGACACTAAAAGTATGTGCAATATGGAATTAAGGTAGGAATTTGTTACTGACATGGTATTGTTACTATCGAGTTGGCTTTTTAGGTCTTTAACCATATATATTAAATGTGTGTTAAATGCTGCATGTAAAATTAAGCCATCATTTAGAATAGATGTTAGTTTGTTATAAAATCAGCTTCAAAATATGGTTTTCTTAAATGAGAGATGCACTGTCCTTGTCTGAAGTTCTGTGTGTGTTACTGTGTTTTGTTTATTTTTAATTATGCTAAGAGTTTACTAAGGTTAAAAATTCCATGTTGGCTTAAGCCTTTTGCAAATTTATCTTGACACCACTGATTTGTCTATTATGTATTAGACAAATATAGTTTAAGGGGAGGGGGAGGTTTATGAATATGATGCAGCTCTGTGTTTTAAATTTCAAGAACAGATTTGAAATGTTTCATTATTACAGAAACAGTAAACGCTGTATTTATGCTATACTAGTTTGTTATGCCTGCAACTCAAAAAGTTTGTGGTTCAGTATTTTCCACGTAGGTTTCTGTTTTATCACACTGTTCATTTTAGCAAATACTATCAATTCTACTTTTCCTTTAAAAGGATAATTGAAGATTAATTTTTAACACCATTTCCACATAATCTATATATAACTGTTTCAGTGTATAAAACACCAAAACTGAACCTTGTTTTCAAGCTATATATTGAGCTAAAAATATAATTTTAAAAACTAACCTTTAGCAAAATCCATGGCCTTAGAAACTGGCAAATACTTTCCATCTTCAGTTGCCCAAGCATCATCTTTTCTGCTTCCTCAGACTTACAGCAAAAAGCTAGGTAACATTCCATAGTCAAATTCTCTTTTGGTAAGTTTGTGTGCTTTCTTCTCTAAGCTCAGTTTTATTCTCAGTTTATTTTCCTGCCTGAGTTATGAATCATAAAGCCCTCATTAGAAAGCTAACACAAGGAGCATAAGCAATGATATAACTTTCTATAGAGATTTCTGTATTAGGTGAAATAACTATGTTATTTAAAAGAGGAAACACTCTAGCTTCTTTGTGGCCCCACAGAATTGCTTGTCGCATCTATTTATGCAGTTGGCCTTTTTGCTTTTCCTATTTTGTCTCAAAGCTAGATATGAAGAAGCTTTTTTCTTCTCAGTTAATGGACCCATAAGGAAAATCATCTAGAGATTTTTAAGTGGTTCTTTGGAAGTGACTCCCACTGATTAGATTGATTGGCCCTAGGGCTCCCATAGTTGGGAACTTTGAAGGGAGTTTCTGATAGACTTGGTCATGGAGAAACTGTTTAACATCAGCTTATACCTGTATTTCTGATGGACATTTTATGTGAGAGCCAGAGTAAGATAGTAGCATATTTAAATTTCTTTTTTCTTTCTCTAAGAGACAGATCTCTTAAGCTGTTTTGACAAGTTTGCATTTTAGTGTTAATTTATAGTTAGAGAATATCCAAACCCCAGAACTATTTAGAAGTAGTAAAAGCAACTTTGGTATCAATCAGTGCACTTTCAAAATGATCATTTAATGCAAATATTAGGGCTTTCACAAATGTGAGAACTCTGTCATAAACAAGTACACTATCAATATAATTTGGAAGAGGGTTTTGGTAATACTATTAAGTTACCACTCCCTTGCACGAGAATAAATAAAATGGATAAACTCATGAGAAGGTACTTGCTAAACAGTAAATTTGGAGAATTGTTTTTGATAAATGTGGCTTTAAGAACTTTACTAAAGAGAATGGTGGCAATAATAGTATGCAAGCAAATTGCCCCATAGGAACCAGTAATAATCAAGTGAGATAATTAAGTTCATTTATGTTAGACATCATGTTAGGCATCTTCTGAATTCATTTGATACTGAAGGCTGGTTTACATGGGATGCAAAAAGTAGGCCCCACAAAGAATATTTTTTAAAATGTAAAGAATTGCTACAATCTTCTATCAAGATCACAAGGATCCTTAGATTTAAATTGAGGGCCAAGTTCTTCCTGTTCTAATCTTGTGTACCTCCCTCTACCTTTGCCTTTCTACTTCCTTGCCTTTCATATCGCAAAGTCCTAAATCTTACAAAAATGTTTTTCCTTTTTGCCAAGAGAAAGAAGCCTCTGTTGACTCTGAGTCCTTGGTTGCCTTTTTAATTAATAAATAAGTTTTACAAATCAGAAGAATGTAGTTGGTTGATTGTATAAAAAAATTTTAACTTCTTTTGTGGCACAACTTTTCAGTAATTATTTGCATAGTCAAAATTTGTCATTTTCATTTTACTAAATGGGAAGAAAACAAGCAGAAATTGTACAATCTAATAGCAAGTTTGAACAGTCTGTTAGATTTTAAAATTATTTTTGGAAAATTTTGGAAGACAATTGACATTCATTTAAGACCCCATGTGGGGGAGTTTAAAACTTGTGTTTGATCTCTGAGGCCTGATTAACAGAGGTGGGATCTCACTGTTTTTCGTTTTAAGGGATAAAATTCAGTGGGATTTTAGTGTTTGATTCACTCAGTGTGTTTGGTTTATGTTAAATTTAAAAAAAATTAGTATCATGGAAAATATTTGACCAATAGTTTAGTCTCTTGAAGTGATAAAATAGAAAGGACATTTTGCTGCGTTTTAAAAGTCTGCTTAAATACGTAACTATTGTAATTATCTGGTTTCGGAAATATTTTAATTGTCAGTCTTAAGTAGGCCGTCAGATTAGCTTGTTATCAGACCTTAACCTGAGGCAGAATTTTGGTGGTTGCCCACTGAGTCTTCCAAATTTAATGAATGAGCATTCTTTATCAGAAAGGTATTTCCTGGACAAAAAATGGTTAATATTTAGAATAGTTGATCCCCTCCTGTAGAACCTTTTAAATTTACCAGAGAATAAAGTGATTAGTACATCTGATACAGGTTTATGCTATACCTCAAGACAACATAGACTAGTTATTTCTTATTCTTTAATATGGGTCAGATCTTTTTTTTTCCCTCCAGAGCTGGTATCCTAAGTTATTTATTATGAGATAGTGTTTTTATGTAATTCATTGTCTTAACAAAAAACATTAAAAGACTAATTTCTCCATTGATATTTATTCTAAGATGATATGAAATGCCTATTTTCTGTTTTCTAGTTTTTATTTTTCTTTAATAAAACTTCTTCTGCATTTACTGAGTCTTTATAATCCAGTATCTACAGCATCTTCTTCCTTTGAACCATAGCCTGGAAAAGATCCTCTGAAACTATAGGACTAGATTTTTAAAAGTTTGAACTTGTTATCTGAATTCCCTTTTCAGAAACCTAAAGGCCTATCTTTTGAACTGCACTGCAGAATTACAGTTTGTGCTTAATTTAGTGGACGATAATGGGACTCATTGTAGACACTACATTGTCCTGAAAAGTAACTCCTGATGAAAGTTTACTGGCTTCTCAGCCATTGTGTTCACTTATCTGCAAGTCTTTAAGGATTAACTATATTTGTCATTTGCAATAAAATTGAGTTGTGCAACACTGCCTTGTGTCTGTCTGAGCAAGACATTTGCTTCACTTTTAAAATGCACCTATCTTTGGAGAGGTGGATTATTCTACACAAATACTCTGTGAATTCCATTGGTTAGAATCCCTATAGATCTATTACCATCTACACTAAAAATGTACTTGCGCAACTTAGTTAAAAAAGAAGAATGTGTTTCATCAATAGCCGGGTATTTGGATTGTTCTCTTGATATATTTGAATGTGACTCTTGGATTCAGGTGCACTATACAAAATTATACAAAATTGCACTGTATGACAAATGTGTCTGTAATGTATGCTTTGCTAAGACCTCAAGAGTGCTTAATGTACAGGCTTCTACATTGTGAACCTGTCTGTATATACCTGTCTTAGGGAAAAATTCTGAACTTTTGTAAGTCTGAATATTATTTAGAATGTTCACTAAGTGTTAAGTTCACTTATGTTCTAAAATTAGAATCATTCACCTTGAGTTTGCTGCTTGTCAAGCTTGGTTTTACTGAATCAAGAAACTGTCTTGTTGAATGTGGTACTGTTATCTTAGTGTGTGATATTTGTGTATGGTGTTTTCCCTCTGCCTCAGAGGACTGTTGCACAGATACTAGTGTTAAATTTCTATAGACAGTGGTAATAAAATTTGAATATATTCAAATGCTGATAAAGTAAATTTGTAGGCTGGATTTTTTTTTTAATTTGTGAAGGGTCGACTATCTCAATTACAACTGCTATATTTTTTTTACTTTATATTTTGAAAAATTCATATCTGCAAACAGAAAGTTGCAAAACAGTACATTGACTTCCCATATACCCTTCATTTAGATTGAATGATTGTTAACATTTTTTCACATTTACTTTAACTCTTTGTGTGGGTATGTGTTTTTACTATTATTATTGTGCTGAAACATTTGAGAGTAAGCTGCAGACATCATAACCCTTTCCCCTACGTACCTCACAAGTGTTCCCTAAGAATAATAGTATTTACTGTACTGTTACTACCCACTCACTAATAGTATGTGTTGATACAGATTAATGATAGAGAAGGGAAGGCTCTTTCTTAGAGTAGAATGCCATTCTTTCTTTGTAGAAAGAATGATGAAATTAGAAAATGACTGACAATCATCACAATAATAATTGATTTATCATCATCAGTGGGTGCTAAAACTTGAGCAGGTAAAAGTTTGTGAAGAACAGAATGTTTACATAGTATCTTGCTACAAAATACTTATTAATTACAAGCAGGAAAATAGTAACTTTACAGTGAAGGAATCTGATAAATATCACCTTACCCAAGCAGAAGTTAACCTCACTAATAGTGGGACATAATATGTGCCTTCTAATCTAATCCACTGAAAACAGCATAACTTTTGTAGGATTTTTACCAAAAACAAACAAAAAACCGAATCTAATTATGAGGGAGCATCAGACAAACTTAAATTGAGGCACATTTTACAAAATAATGTCTATAATCTAAAAACTACTAAATTCATGGAAGAAAAGGAAAGACTGAAAACCTTTTTGTAAGTTTGAAGTTATTTCAAAATAAAACGTAAAAGCAAATAATGGGTAGCAAGCAGCATCCATACAAAGCTAAAAAAGTAAAAGAATCAAAATATTTCAGCTGATGAAAATTACAACCTAATAAATGAAGCAGAAGAAAACTAATACATTCCAAAAGGAACACTTTTAAACAAAACTTTCAGATATGAAAAAACACCTCAAATGATAAATTACAAAACTCAGAACAGAAATAGATGTCCCCACCCCCTAAAAAAAAAGGTGAAGGTAGGAAATTAGTTGAATGAACTCAGGAAAGAAATTGCTGAACAAAGAGAAAGTCATATTAAAGACTAAATTACAAGATGTCCAAAGGGGAATAGTTCCAACTGGAATTTATTAAAGGGCACTGTGATGGTTAGGGTTGTGTGTCAACTTGGCTGGGTCATGCTCCTCCGTGGTTTGGCAGTTATGATGTAGTTTGGCAGCTTTTTAATGACGTAATCACCTCCATAATGAGATCTGATATGATGTGATCACCTCCATGATGAGATCTGTTGTGAGCAGCCAGTCAGTTGAAAGGGAGTTCCCTTGGGGGTGTGATCTGCATCTGATATAGGTGGGCTTTCTGGCAAGGCTTGCTGGCTTTCACTCACCCTGGATCCTGCAGCTGGTTTCTGTTTATCTGACCTCCAGTTCTTGGGACTTCAGCTAGCAGCTTACCTGCTGTCTTAGCTGCTGATGTTGGATTCGCCAGCACCTGTGGCTGCATGAGTCAGCGGAAGCCTCCAGCTTGACCCACGGACTTGGAACTTTACAGCTTCTTCAACTGCATGAGCCATTTCCTTGATATAAATCTCTCTCTATATATATATATCGAAAAGCCAAGAGATTGAAAATAATGAGCAAAAAAGATCAGAGAGAAAGTGATACAGAGGACACAAAGAAGAGCCATCATATGAATAATTGGAGTCCCTTAAGAAGAAAAATGAAATAATGGAACAGAACTAATATTTAAACCTATAATCCAAGAAAAGTTTCCAAAAGTAAGAGAAGATGTGAGTGGAATTGGACCCAGATTGGTCAATCCTAGAAAAACTATTAGACTTTATAGTCTAAGACATATCCTAGTAAAACTATTAGACTTTAAAGATGAAGAGGGAAAAAATCCCCAGGGCCTCTAGGCAAAACAGATGAAGTCACTTAAATTCAGGTTGCTATTAAAGTTTTCAACAACAACATACAAATTAAGACAATAGAACAGCATTTTCAAGGAATACAAGGAAAGAAATTATGAGCCAAGGATTTTATATTTAGCCAACCTGTACCTTAAGAATCAAAGATATTGAAAAAGATTTTAAACATGCAACAACTCAGGGAATCCTGTGATCAAGTGTGGTTCCTGAGGAATTTGTGAAAGGACTAGTTTCATCTAATTAAGAGGTGACTGGAGAAATTTCAGCAAAAGGGCTGATGGTTAGCCCTGAATGTGTTTTAAACGTAGATGGAAGACTAAACCAAAGATAGAGACATGAGACGAAGAATAGTAGGTAGATGCTATGTATTTTGACAATTTAGAAATAATGCAATTTTTAAAATAAGAGAAAAAGGAGAAAGAATAAGCGCATTGATTGCCATATAACTAATAGGTGGGATTCAAAGGTATTTAAACCTAACAAATCAGATTGTAGAAGGCTTAAGGAAGAAAGGGTCTATGGGCATTATAAACAATATTACCAAGATAAATCTATAAAAAATGCAACTCTTACACCCAAAGAAATTTTTAAAACTGCAAAACAGGCAACATAAATACAGTAAGTATATATGACATATATATAACAATTTATATTTAGCATATAAATATAACTGTATACATAGTAAGGAGCCCTTGTGGCACAGTGGTTAAGAGTTTAGACTGCTAACCAAAAGGTCAGCAGTTCGAATCCACTAGCTGCTCCTTGGAAATCCTGTGGGGCAGTGCTACCCTGTCCTATAGGGTCGCTATAAGTCAGAATCAACTTGACGGCAATGGATTTTGGTTTTTTATACATAAGAAAATAATGACAGTTGAAACCAAACATCAGTCATATCAATAAATGTGAATGGACTTAATTCATCTATTTTAAGAAAAGATCTTCAACTTGGTTTGTAAAGCAAAACCCAATATGCTATATACAAGAGACAGAACTAAAAGTAACTCAGGTTAAAAATAAAGGGATGGTGCACTAGTCAGGGTTCAATAAGAAGCAGACTGAGAGAGAACACCAGGGTTTGTTATAGGGATTTTACCTTACACAACTGTGGTAGCTAGTTACACAGTTTTTGTAAGGCTGTTTCCACATTTGATACTAGGAGCTTACAGTCCACAGGTCAGGCAGTAGCAAAGGGAAGATAAAGTTGGGAAGATCAAGGACAAACTGGAACTCACAAAGAGACAAAAATTTGTCAGTTATTGTTGCTATTGACCTTAATGGTAGGAGTGTTCTACAGAACGGGGTCCTTTGTTGTGGAGGTAAACACACACGCACACCTGGCCCAGGAATTGGAGAAGCTGAAGGAGGATCCAAGGAAAGATACAGCAGTTGCAGACACAGCTGCTGAATCTCACCAAGAGGTGAGCCAGCAGATGAGCAACAATGTAACTGAGCTACAAATGACGGCTGTTTCTTACTTACACCCTCCCAAGAGAATCTCACTTGTGGTCCATCCTAAGAAAGCCTACAGGAAAGGTAATTCTGGGAAATGTAGCTCAGCTTGTCCAACTTGACACATTACAAAACCACAACAGATGGGAAAAATACATACCAGGTGTCATGGATTGAATTGTGTACCCCAAAAATATCTGTTAACTTGGCTGGGTCATGATTCCCAGTATTGAATGATTCATTTCCCTATGTGTTATAAATCCTATCACTATGATGTAATAAAATGGATTAGCAGCAGTTATATTGATGAAATATACAAGATTAGATAGTGTCTTAAGCCAATCTCTTTTGAGATATAAAAGAGAGAAGCAAGTACAGAGACATGGGGACCTCATACCACCAAGAAAGCAGTGGCAGGAGCAGAGTGCGTGTCCTTTGAACCTGAGGTTCCTGTGCTGAGATGCTCCCAGAACAAGGGAAGAGTGATGACAAAGACCTTCCTCCAGAGCTGACAGAGGCAGATGACAGACTTCCCCTGGAGCTGATGCCCTGAATTTGGACTTCTAACTACTAGACTGTGAGAGAATAAATTTCTCTTTGTTGAAGCTGTCCGCTTGTGGTATTTCTGTTTAGCAGCACTAGATGACTAAAACATAAGGTAAATGGAACATGCCAAGTGTGTTCTTCCCTGTTGATACAATGCTGCAGCCACTTTTGAATGATCTTCAGCAAAATTTTACTTGTGTGTGGTATTAATGATATTGTTCAGTAATTGCCACATCCAGTTGGATCACCTTTCTTTGGAATAGGCATAAATATGGATCTTTTCCAGTCATTAACCAGGTAGCTGTCTTCCAAATTTCTCTACATAGATGAGAGATCATTTCCAGCGCTGCATCGGTTTGTTGAAACATCTCAGTTGGTATTCTGTTAATTCCTGGAGCCTTGTTTTTTGCCAATGCCTTCAGTGCAGCTTGGGCTTCTTCCTTCAGTACCATAGATTCCTGATCATATGCTACCTCCTGAAATGGTTGAACATCGACCAGTTCTTTTTGGTATAGTGACTCTGTGTATTCCTTCTATCTTCCTTTGATGCTTCCTACATCGTTTAATATTTTCCCTGTAGAATCCTTCAATATTGCAACTCAAGGCTTGAATTTTTTCTTCAGTTTTTTCAGCTTGAGAAGTGCCGAGCATGTTCTTCCCTGTTGATTTGCTATCTCCAGGTCTTTGCAGATGTCATTATAATACTTTATCTTTCGAGCCACGCTTTGAAATCTTCTGTTCAGCTCTTTTACTTCATCATTTCTTCCTTTTGCTTTAGCTACTTGACGTTCAAGAGCAAGTTTCAGAGTCTCTTCTGACATCCATTTAGGTCTTTTTCTCTCCTGTCTTTTTAATGACCTCTTGCTTTCTTCATGTATGATGTCCTTGATGTCATTCCACAGCTCATCTGGTCTTCAGTCATTAGTGGTCAGTGCGTCAAATCTGTTCTTGAGATGGTCTCTAAATTCAGGGGGGATATATGTCGTGCTTTGGTTCTCATGGACTTGTTCTAATTTTCTTCAGTTGCAACTTGAAATTGCATATGAGATTGATGGTCTGATCCGCACTCGGCCCCGGCCTTGTTCTGACTGATGATATTGAGCTTTTCCATCATCTCTTTCCACAGATGTAGTTGATTTGATTCCTGTATATTCCACCTGGTGAGGTCCACATGTGTAGTTGCTGTTTATGTTGTTCAAAAAAAGGTATTTGCAATGAAGAAGTCATTGGTCTTGCAAAATTCTATCATGTGATCTCTGACATCATTTCTGTCACCCAGACCATATTTTCCAACTGCCAATCCTTTTATGTTTCCAACTTTTGCATTCCAATCACCAGTAATTATCAATGCATCCTGATTGTATGTTCCATCAATTTCAGACTGCAGAAGCTGGTAAAAATCTTCAATTTCTTCATCTTTGGCCTTAGTGGTTGGTGTGTAAATTTGAATAATAGTCACATTAACTGGTCTTCCTTGTAGGCATATGGATATTATCTCATCACTGACAGCATAGTACTTCAGGATAGATCTTGAAATGTTCTTTTTGACGATGAATGCAACGCCATTCCTCTTCCAATTGTCATTCCCAGCATTGTAGACCATATGATTGATTCAAATGGCCAATACCAGTCCATTTCAGCTCACTAATCCCTAGGATATTGATGTTTATGCATTCAGTTTCATTTTTGACGATTTCCAATTTTCCTAGATTCATACTTTGTACATTTCACCTTCTGATTATTAATAGATTTTTTCAGCTGTGTCTTCTCATTTTGAGTCATGCCACATTAGCAAATGAAGTTCCCAAAAGCTTGACTCCATCCATCATTAAGGTCGACTCTACTTTGAGGCGGCAGCTCTTCCCCAGTTGTCTTTTGAGTGCCTTCCAACCTTAGGGGCTCATCTTCCAACACTGTATCAGTGTTCCACTGCTATTCACAAGATTTTCACAGGCTAATTCTTTTCAGAAATAGACAGCCAGGTCCTTCTTCGTAGTCTTAGTCTGGAAGCTCAGCTGAAACCTGTCCACCATGGGTGACCCTGCTGGTATTTGAATACCGGTGGCATAGCTTCCAGCATCACAGCAACACACAAGCTCCCACAGTACGACAAACTGACAGACACTTGAGGGTAGTAGAATATATGATTTTTCAATTCAAAATGGCCAATATCAGTCCATTTCAGCTCACTAATGCACAGGATATAGATCGTCAAGCATTTCATTTCACGTAACAACTTCCAATTTTCCTTGATTCATACTTCATACACTCCACTTTCCAGTTACTAACAGAT